ACCTTGCGCTTGCCAGGCAGGCGCTTTTGCCGCTGAGCTAAATCCCCAGCCCCCCCCATGCCTTTTTCATTGCCTCTGCTCATGCCGTTTGGGTATAGTGTTCTTTCATTTTAATATTTTTCCATCTTTAAGAACTGATGGTGCATCCCTATAATCCCAGCACTTGGGAGGCTGAGGCAGGATGATCCCTGTGAATTCAAAGTCCACCTGGGCTACAAAGTGATTTCAGGGCCAATCTGACCTGCAAAGTGAAGCCTTGTCTCAAAAAGACCAAAGGGGAAAAAAAAAAAACTGTTTACCTATAGCTCTTTGAACTTGACATCACCTCCAAAATACATAAACTAAGAAACAGAGCAAGAAGATACGGTAAGCAGGTGTCTAGCATCTTCTGTCTGTTGGCTTGCAAGAACATCTCTTGTTCCAGGGAAACATAGATCATATATAGTAAAACAGCAAAAGGACAATTACGTCTCACTATTTTGGGGAGAATTTTCAGGACTCTCATAAGAAATATTCACACCTGTGGAACAGATTGGTATTTTCGTGGAGCCAGGTTTTCAGCTTCAAATACACCTGCCAAAACATGAGCGGCTGTTACTGTACCTTCTGGGATCTAGTATTACAGTGCCTGACAAGGTTTGGTGCGCACAGACAGGAGAATTCAGAACGGCAGCTATGTTATTCCTAAGGAAATGAAGCTCTTGCCCAGCCTTGTTGATGCCTATTTGGGTTTGAAAATTTTGCCATCATAAGTATGCCTTACAGTGCCTACCTGACACTTCATTGTTCAAATAATTTTGAAATAATATTTAATACATTCATTTAAATGTCAGTGATTTAAAAATTATTCAACAAAAAATAGTAAACGGAATCTTTTCAAGGAATCAGTATTAGATGTGGGCCCTAAAAACCATTGAAAGTACTCATCTTGGTGCCCAAAGAGCATTTAAAGAAAAGTTTTCTTTTGTGTTCCCCGTAACTTAGGATTGAACATTTCTCATTCAAGATGGCATCAGAACATTAATGTCATTTAAAAGTATGTATTCATTGTCAAACAGTGAATATCCGTCAAACATGAAATGTTTATGGCATCAAACACACACACACACACACAAAACACACACTCACACAAACTCTCTCTCACACACACACACACACACACGCAGAGGACATGGTGGCACATGCCTGTATCCTACTACTCAAGAGGCCGAGGCATGAGGATTCGACACATTTCAAGGCCAGCCTGGGCTGTCAAGACCCTGTCTCAAAAAACTAACCAATTTTACCCCCTCCCCTAAAAAGCCACAGAGAACTGAAGCCAATCAGTATTTCTATATGAATATGTACTAGGTAGAATAATAGAAAATTGCTTTAGCCTAATTTTGACCAACAATAGCAGTTATTGTTTTTTGTTTCTTCTATTTGGGTTTTTTTTTTTTTTTTTTTTTTTGTCTTTTTGAAACAGAGTTTTGCTATGTAGCTTGAACTCACTTTGTAGCCCAGGCTGCCTTGAACTCACCGTGATCCTCCTGCCTCAGCCTCCCCAGTGCTTATATTACAGGCGTGCACCACCACGCCCAGCTAATTGTGCTTTTTTAAATTTTAAAATACTTTGGCAGTATTGAGGATCAAACCCAGGTCCTTGTGCATGCTAACTAAACAAATGTTCTACCGCTACACTCCCAGCAGCCAAAGGAGCAGTTTTACACTTAAGTAACTGGATGCATGGAGACTCTTGTTTTATTCTCATTTTTCTCCTCCTCGATTAGTATAAAACAGTGTATGTTTCCTACATTGTCTTCCTAGTTCTTGTAAATTTGTGCATTTTGTTCTGTTCCATGAGTGTGGAGTATAAAGTTGTTTGCTTTTTCTCTGCAAGAGATAAAACTCCAAAACTTCAGTCACTACCCTCCTTCAGATACCCATTCTACTTGGCTGCGTTCCAATGTTATTCAATGTTGTTGTTTGTTTTGGTATTTGTATTTTTGAGGCAAGGTCTAATTTTGTAGTTCAAGCCAGGCTTCAACCAATAATCCTCCTTCCTCAGCCTCCCAAGCGCTGGGATTACAGGTATGTGAACACACCTGTTTCTGGTGTCATTTTCTAAACTAGTATCTTCTTTGCATCCTCCTTTTGCTATTTGAGACTAAAAGGCTTTGGCATATGTCTTCAATACAATCTAAGCAATGAGCCAGGGCCAATATGAAAAAGCACACACATTCGTGCATGCATATGTACATAGTTAAGTGGGTCTGTTTGGATAGTATGTCCTCAAAGCCAGTGAGTTTGTGGGAGTATTTTTGTTTATTGTTTCTGCGGTGTTGGGGATTGAACCCAGGGCTTTATGCATGTTAAGCAAGAACTGTACCACTGAGCTACACCCCCAGCCTGGTGAGTTTGTATTTAAAGAAAATATCAAAGGCCAACGGGATGAGAAGTATTGTGCGCTTCAGATTGTGCTATCTTCAGCCGAGTCCTCTCATTTCTACCTGACCAAGACCTGACCCTGCGGAGGGCCTTCTCAGTATGCTTTGGCTACCAGCAAAATGCTGCGTTGTTTGATACGACGAGGAAGCACCCTGCATGGGTGTTGACTGACTAGATGCAAATCCTTCTCTCTTGCCCTGATGATTACATCTGAGCAGGAAGGTAGGAGGAAAATAGCTGCTCTCCTGCGGGGGGGAGGGACGCGGTTTAATTATGACGAGGATGGGGCCGGAGGATCCTCACAAGTGGCTGTCAAGAGAAAAGAATGGGGTGATGTCATCCTTTACTGGGACAATCACCGCGATGAAATGAGGTCACACAACAATAGTCTTGGTCTGTGCTCAGTATCACAAGTTGCTTGGAGAGATTACTCTCCTGTTGCGTTTCTCAGGACCAAAAGCCCCTCCTCGCATGGAACTGTGTTCCCCACACCACCCAAGCCCCCA